AAGTAGTTAAAACGAAAGATATAATGAAAAAGAAATTTTATTTTTTGACTTTTTTAAACAAAAAAAATAATAACGATAAATTATGCCAAAAATTCTTTGTTTACGCGAGCGTAACACAATGATCATTATCGATAAATCCATTTTTGGTAAGAATGACATAATATTACGTAACTAAATCACATGATTATTTTTCTGTAAAAATTATTTTTTCGAAAGAATCTTATTGTAATAACTATTTGATAAATTTATTGAGCTAATATTTTAATTTTTTTTGTTTCATTTTAAAATTATAACACGTTGTGTCATATGTAACACTACGATAATATAATTGTCATCATTTTATGAGTAATAATAATTTAGATTCCTGATAAGATAATTCATAATATTCAAAATATTTTCAATCGTTTTAATTTGATTTTTCTATACATTCTTATCGATCACTTAAAAAACTTGTATGCTAGTTTGAAAATTAAGAAATTCCTTGAATAGTTATGTATTGACATTACGTGATTTAAATCATCATTGATACTGGTCATAATCCAATTAACTTTAACTTAAACTTTTAGCATTAATTCTAATTCTAACTATAACTCCAATTCTAAATTTAACACAAACTCTAACTCTAACCTTTTAATTAATAAATAGTTTTAATATGCAATTAAGATTATATTACTACGTGACAAAATCCTAATCAATCATATGCTTATTATAAACTGTAAAGAATAAATTTTATTAATTTAATTTACATTTAATTTAAGATTATAATAATTTTTGAGATTTATATTAATTTTTCAGTTGTAATAATTGGTTTCAGTACAATTTTCAGTTCCGTAATTAGATTTCAGTATTCAGTTCTCTAATAATTCTTGATCTGTAAGGTTTTATAATTATTTATTTAAAAAAAATTTTTTTAATTTGCCGGATTTATTATTTAAATTATTTGTTATTTTTTTTAATTTGCCGGCTTTTTAAATTAATTATTATTATTTTTTTAATTATGAATTTTTAATTAATTGTTTTATTGCTATTCTTTGGCTTCCATAACCGGTCATTCAAATATCTGGTAAAATCTTCCTGGTGATTTTATTAATTAATATTAATTTGTTGATATTTGGTTGTTTATAATAATATTGTTTGATTTTATTCAAAATTTTTAATTTAAAATATAAATCTACTAATTTAAGTTATTGTAAAATGATTAAGGGACAGATATTACGAGTGAATAAATTATAATTATTTAATAAATTTCTATAACCTGGCACAATTCTGAAGGAAATTCCTAGAATAGCTGCGTTTTATAGTGAACTAATACCTGTAATATAAAATAGAGACTAGCAATTCTGCCTGAGCAATGCCTAGGAGTTAACTAATGTGATGTAATGTAATCTGTAAAAATAAATTATTTCAAAATATTTTAAATATTTTAATTTGTAATTCTCTAACAACCTTAATTCTAACTCATAATCCAAATTCTAACCCATCTAAACCCACCCAAACCCCAACTCTAACTAGGGATGGGAACGACTCTATCGGTTCTGTAAGCTGAACTGACTGAAACTGGTTCAGATATATATTAATAAATGTGAGCAAATTTCTCTAAAATTCACATGATTTATCGTTAAGGATTAATAATATAAAAATAAGCTATTAGTCAAATTATTTAAAATAAATAAATTATGTAATAAATCATTATAAAATATGTAAAATAAATTCTGATGAACAGACAGATTTTTTATTATAAATGTTTAATCATTCTAATATTGTTATTAATAACTTTACAGTAAAAAATTTTATAACAAAATCATTTTAGTGAATCATTATCCATCCAACTCTTTGCGCATAATCACGCCCTTGCTGTCTCTTGTAATAAACGATTCCAAGTCTTTGTAATCACATTTCCAGCAATCGAAAATGCTTGCTTTGATGCAACACTTGTTGCTTGAATCATTAGATAGTCTCGAGCCATATTAATTAAAACTGGAATGAGCTTGCCACCACAAGAGAGGTTCAGTCTCTTCGTCAATTGGTTGTTCAAGATAACGATTTAGCTCCGTTTCTGTTCTGTTGAAGTGGAAATTTCATTTGTAGGTGCTGCATTTTGTCGAAGTAATGTAATGCAAAATATTGTCAATTTCTTCTATTAGGAATAGGTAGAGCTGAATTCGTAGGTAAGAAGGACCGTTCATTATAGCGTTCATAAATAGACACAATAAGTGTGAGAGCACTTAATTTTGATTCATCTGAAAAGACTGAGAGCTTACTTCGGGGTCTAAAATTGCAGAAGTAGTTGAATCCAGTATTCTTCAATCTTATGAAAGATTAAAGCTGTCATTGTATTTGGTGTAAAACTATTATCTTTCGCATATTTTCTAGATGTATTTGAATTCCTGCGAGTATCACCCATTGTTGGATAGGACGATGCAGATAAATACTTAGTAGCCTTTTCTAAAGGTAAACTATCCTATTGAAAAATGTAATATTAAAAAAAGAAAAATCTAAAAATACTCATAAAAAAGATTCCTTAATGAAATTCAACATAAAGACATAAAAAATATTTTAATATTAAATTATCATTTAAATATTATAATTATTATAATTAAATTAAAAAATATTAATTACTTATTAATTAATGAAATTAATTTTATAACATAAAAATTTTGTACTGATTTTATAATAACAGATCAACGATTGAACATAAAATAAAATATATAAATAATTAAAAAAATAAATTATAAATTATAAATTCAACAAATAATTAAATAATAAATAAACACAAAATAATTAAATAAACAAATAGCACAATACTATCAACAACCACATACTAAATCAACTCCAGAATTTAACATGACAAATACTATTAAGCAGGGGACGAAGTCCCCCATATACCGCTAACTCTAGTTATTATATTATAATTTAAAAATTATGATATTCGGGATTATGGCCATTAGGGATTATGATCATTCGGGATTATGACTACGTGACTTTTTGAGGATTTTACTTAATAAATAAAATAAAAATTAATAAAAATTACGTTAGCAGATAGTTTAATTTTTTTTGTTCGTTTTTAAAAATTTAATTATTCGATATCTAAACAAATTCACTTATTTTATGTAAATGCCTCAATAAACTTATTCTTTATTTTCAAATAAAAATAAATAATAAAATAAATAATATTAACAAAAATTATAGGAACTAATATTAAGTAAAATAGCTTTGAATCAACTAAATACTTTCATTGATTTCAGGTGTAAGAGATAATAAACCATCGAATATCTAATTAGAAACATTTTATAAATTCGTTCAAAAAACTTATTATCGAAAATTTTGTTATGGAGTTGAGGGAATTGATTATTATATTATCAATCCAAACTATTTAAGGATTGGAATCGATTCAAATCTAAAAAATAGAATCGATTATACACGATTAATTGTTTCTCGAAGATTCAATTCTAAGATTTGATTTTCGATTTGATTAATCGATTCTAATCGATCTTTTTTATGGAGAAGTGATTTTTACGTATTTATAAAAAATAAAAAGATTTGTCAAAATAAAAAAATTAATCTTCACGAATTTAATAGTTTAAGATATTAAATACCAAATACCAAATTCAGCTTTCATCTCAACAATTCCTTATTTACATAAGCTGATTTAAGAAATGAATCCAGACATGTTCTTTAAATTTTTAGCGTCAGAATAAAATCTTTCTGATGGAAGAGATGTTGTAGATATAGAAGGTATTTTATTACTAATTTATGAAATATTAGATATTTGTTTAGCCGTTAGTATATAGCGCACTTATTGCGCCACTAACAAAAATTTTTGGGGTTTAAACACGAAAGTAACATGGCATTCCACGGGAACAAACAACAAACCGACCGTTTTTCCTCAAGACTTGGAAGGATATAAATTACCATTACAAAAAATGTTGGCCGCTTTGGAAAAGTTGAAGGGTCCTGAGTTAGTTCTTGAGACTATTAGTTGATAATACAGATCTAGAGAGAAATATCGGTTTGCCTTACAAAATTGCAAAAGATATAGCATTTTTGCACAATGATGGAAATGTAACGATCATCTTAGATGGTACAAACTAATATCAGAAGTTGGAAAAATAACAGATGCATCTAATCACATATAGCACAATCATGTGACACAATTGATTTTATATTCCGCTTTCGAAAATTTAATTGATTTGCTACAAATTGTTGCGTTAATGGAGGCCAAAGTTTTTATTTTTATCATCATATTAAGTCAACCTCGTTTTTACATGAAGTTATGTGACTAAAAATGACTTTCTATTCAATTACTGTAAGATTAATTTGGATTGCAATTTTTGGTCACAATAGGTTAATTCCAGTGTAATCGAATATGACAAAATGGATTATTCAAGAACTTTATTCCAATCACGACTATGAGGCATTAATTATTTCTTTACATGAGAAAACGTGCACGTAAAAGTTTTTTGATCATGAATTTATTGCTTTTATTTATTGTGAAGTTAATAATGAACGCTCACGTATATTTCTGCACAAAAAAAAAAAAATCATCGAGTTTTCATTAAATCATCATAACCATAGTTTTACAATAATAACAATAAAAATATTAATTGTGATTTTTTTTTTTATTAGTAATCCCGATTGTATTGTTTACCCGATATAGTTAGAGATCTACGCAAACTGATAACTAGGTACAAAATGACCTCTCTGGGCAAGTTGTCCTTCCCGATTTTTAATGTATAAAAAAGTGGGTTCCAATAGACAGTTTTTTTTTTATGATATTATTATTACACAAAAATTCCCCGATATTCCCATTTAGATAGTTTTTTATTTAGCCGTAGTAATTCTGCAACGATTGACTACATTTAATAAAGAGTACAGAGCGACGCGTTGAGGCAGTACTGATAAATTAATTTTTATTAAATAATTCTTGCACAGTTTATTTCATAATTAAAACCTCTGCTACATTTTTACATAACGCTAAAGAATTGAATGCAACAATAGTTTCACAAGTGATTTTCGGCAGTTTTACGGTTTCTGTAGGTTTGATTAATAATTTCGGTTGCAACCTTAACCTAAATTTAGCATTTCAAAAACAGCATGTGTTAATGCAAGAATTTGTTTAAAATTTTTTTTTGTTGCATTTATTACAAATCAATTTAAGCCTTGTGTAACAACTAAGCGTTTACAGTGTTAATACTTTAATGATATCAAATGTTTAAAAATAAAAAAAAAAGAAAAAAAAATTCAAATAAAATAATAATCATCTATAATGAACTTTAACTAGTAAAGGATCTTTCATTGGTAAAGTTACAGAACGAGCGTAATCAGGAGGACATTTTTGTCCCGGTACCATTTCAAATTTAAATTGTCTTAATACGGCCGTCGCTAACATTATGGCTTCAACTGTGGCAAAACTTTGTCCAAGACTGTTAATTATCAATATAAACAAAAGGTTAATATAAATTAAAAAAAAAATTCTGATTCCGTTTATTCTACATACCACAATCTTGGTCCAGCATTAAAACTATTGAATTTATATTGACTTGGCTTCAATCCATCTTCAGAATTTAAAAATCTTTCTGGATTAAATTGCCTTGCATCATTTCCCCATGTTCTTTCATCTCTTCCCATTGCCCAGGATGACCAACTAACGATATCGCCGGCATAAATTGGTATGCCATTAGGAAGTACATCATCTTTAAGACATACCTTTATAATAAAAAAAAGCAATAATTAAACGTTTTTCCTTAACATTCATAGAATTATATATATATTTTTTTCTCGATAATAACCTTAACGTTTTTCGGTACTACAGGATGTAATCGAAGCGTTTCATAAAATACCGCCTGCGTATATTGAAAAAGTTTTATATTGTCGTAATTCGAAATTGGATTTTCTGGAGTGAGCAAAGAGCTAACTTCTTTAACCAATTTTTCTTCAATAGAATGATCGGCCATGAGATTATACATCATCCACGAGAGCGCCTAAATGACATATACCATATAAAATTAATTAGAATGGTACTTATATAACAATTCACGAAGTATGGGCCAAATTATTATTACTTGTGCAGTTGTGTCACGTCCTAAATTATGAAAGACTAAGATTAATAAACATAAAAAATAAAGGAAATACAGTATATATAAATTGTTATATAAGACATACCAGCAATGATAAAATTTAATATAATATCTCTTAATTCCTTATCGGTCAATTTTTCTCCGTTATCATGTTGAGCATTCATAAATATATTAAGGATATCTCCGTGGTCTTTTGATGCTTCCGGATTATTCCTATGTTTCTTAATTATATCATAAGCAAAAGTTGATAAATAATCGCACACTTCACGCATTTTACGACCTTCCTCTGTAAATAATTCTGTAAATTTCCAAAAAGGATTTTCGATTCGATTGTTCATTACTCTTTGGGCAAAATCGAAGGAAGTCGCAAATTTTACCGGATCTTTTGAATTATTTAGGCAATTAAAGTCCAGTCCAAGTGTAATTCTGGAAAAAAATATTTAAATTTATAAATGAAAATAATTATGCTTTTTTTTTTTTTTAAAAAAAAAAAAAAAAAAAAAAGCACACTCAATCAACACTTACTTTCCGAAAGAATCCATTGTAAATCTAAAAAATAAATCTTGCAAATCAAACGTTTCACGAGTTCTTGCAAATTTATCCAAGGTTTTTAATACGATCTCGGTTTCTTCTTTAAACACGACGCAAATAATCTCACGAAACTTTCTGCCGTTAAATAAATGACTCGATAATTTTCTTTGCATTTTCCATGAATGTCTATCGAATAAACAACAAAATGTTAAAAATATTAAGTGCAAAAAGAAAAAAAAAAAGGCCTGTTTACCCATTAGCATTGAAAATTCCATCTCCCAAAACATCATAAACAATACTATGAACGATTGGCGATTTATTATAGTTTTCGAAATTCGCTGCCGATTGATTTTTAGTAAGTTAATATGATCCAATTAAATAATGATAAATAAAAAATTACTCCAACTTACTTTTCAAAATTTGTTCGATGCATTCGGGATTATTAATTGTGATAACCCTACCCAAGCCTGGTAACGAAAACGTTCTACGGTTAATAAAAAAAACTATTAATTAATCAAACGACTTCGGATATATCTCGAAAAGAACGAAAAAAAATTTTTTTTCGCGCAAATTTACTTACGCATTTGGACCATATTTTATTAAAGTTTCGATCATGAACTTTACGAGACCTTTATCGTGAATTTCTAATAAATTCCCAATAAGTGGATAGCCTTTAGGACCATCAAGGTCTGTCCTTGGTCTAGTACCAATACATCTATCCGGATATTTTATCACAAGGTAGATCAGAATTCCCAGAAGACCTACGAAGATTGCTGTTATAATTTCTATAACTTCCATATTATTTATTTTTTTTATAGTTATGAAAGAAAAGAATCATTCTAGAGATATTTATATATCTGATAGTTGGCTGTGTATAAGGCGTAAATTTTTTGATCATTACTAAATAGGAATTCACTTCCCTTACAAGACAAGTTCATTAAGTTTTTGTTTATATAAAGTATAAAAAATGGAAGGAATTTTTTTTTTAAGAAATATATTTACGTTTGGATTTTTCCCAACCTTGGCTTTAATAGGTAAAATTATGCGAGAAATAACAAATAAAAAAATGAATGTTTTTTAGAGATAACAATGAACAGGTATCGTGCGATACATGGATTTCACATGTCACTGAACTGATGGGCGTATGTACGGTTGATTATTGATCATGCCTAAATACTGCGCGGCATTAGAACACTATCCTAATTATAATGATCGAGATGATTGAATGACGATAAAGACTAAATGAGAAAAATGACAAATAAGAAAATGCTTCAAACGCAGATAGTTCGTGTTCTTCAGATAATTTTAAAAAGCGATTTTATTTCAGGTAAAAAAGTTTAAAATTGTTTGCAAATCGTTATTTATATTTTAACTTTATTTTTATTTTATAATTATAAAAAAAATATAATTCATATATAAGTGTAATGTCACATAACATGTGTTGTGTTACAAATATTTATATAATGATGCAAAAAAGGATATTCCACATAAAGATATTCAAATTTAATTTATTTAGAAAACCATCATCATCAGATAATGATATTTTTAAGCATCAAACTAGTAGTAAACTAAAAATAATTTTCAAAAATGAAGAAAACGTGAACCATCTAATATAAAGTGGTCAGCTCTATAATTTATCATCATTTTTTATCAACTTTCCTGTGTTTATTTCTATTCAACATTTAGATATCAATCCCACCGAACTCAACCACAGAATCTGAGTATCTCTACATGATCATGATTTAATATGTGAAAAATGATGCTTCGCAGATATGCAAATTTTTCCAGTGGTATCCTGAAAATAACTGACCTGACTTTAAATTCTCCAAATGTACAAATATAAGGAGTCGGGTCATCTGTTTAAACTACACAAAAAATTATTTAATTATCATAAAGAGGTAATATAATCAGACCATGCTGGCCTACTAGTTTATTAGGGCTCTGGAGTTAAAATCTTTGAATGATTTCATTTTACTCTTTATTATTATAATAATAAATAATTGGCATTTTCTCGAAAAAAAAAATAAACAAAAAAAAAGATAATTTTTCAAAAATGACTGATTGATTTGATTGTTTCTCAGTTATGTAATAATTTGTTAATTTTATAATCTGAGAAATTTTTAAATATATATAATATATATAACAAATCGATAAAAATAAAATTAAATAATGTCATCAATCATTTCTTCAATTATATTTGTTAAAAGTGCGAATAGAGAAAAGTCTCTACAGGAATTGCATATAGTAGAATAGACCATGACGACCATGACGAATTTATCAAAATAAATTTCAAAGCATTCAGATATAATAATGAAATTATGATCCAAGAAATAAAAGAAAATTCTTTCATGCTAATGATAGGACGCTTTTTAAACTTTGAATCTGAATTATTTGTAATGAGCTTTCCTTTTTCTTAAATAATAAATTATTTTCGATAAAATAAATTAATCGATCTAATGTAATTTTTAATATTATTTAGGTAACTGTAATGTAATTCAAGCGACCTAAAAACATTAGAAGAACCAGATATGCATGATCTACCAATTGCATTCTTATTTAGATCTTTCACCTCTCCGTGTAAAGTAGCAGCAAAGCAAAAAGATGAACAAGGCCAAAGTTACTTCAATGAATAAACTCATGATCCCTTGTACATATACAACATCAAATGGTAGACATTCTGCAGTAGCAGTATCAACAAAATCTTCAGCAGTATTCTCAGTAGCAGGAGAATTGTTTATTGGAATGAGTCTCATGCAAATCATATGTTCCGAGATCGAATGGTCATTTCCTAATGCTATAGTGCAAAAGTCAGAAAAAGTATAACCCCAAAAAGAGAAAATTATTAAAACTCGAGTAACAAATTATTAACAAAAACTTAAAACAAATCCATTATCATCAACACGATTAATATCAAGCTCAACTGCATCAACATCAAATTCGCAATCATCAACCTCAAATTCAACATCTTCGGAAGAATCGAGAAAAAGATCAGAGATATTAATCCAAGCATTTGATCAAACAAACAAAAAAGACAAAGCACCTATACATAAAAATAATGAAGACGAAGATCAGCAAAATAGCTTTCAAAGCAATGAAAGCAACAATGATATTATAAATATTAAAAAAAATTCATGATCATTACAAGAAATAAAACGATATTTTGTAAATATTTAGTCTAAACAATCAAAAAAATATAAAAATTAAATACTTTAGCGAATATAATAGCTTCCTCTATCTTTTTAAACGATTTAATATGACAAAGTTTTACAATTTTATAAATCAATTTTTTATACATATCTATAAGTATAAAGCTATAGCGGTTAAATTGTTTTTTTAAAAAGTTTACAAAGTAACATTGGTCAAGATTAATAAACCAACAAAAAAAAATTTGTTCATGATAATTTCATAAAAAATATTTAGATAAATTTCTTTGTTACAAATCCTAATAAAAATGATAAATCGAAACTTTTTTTATTTATTTAGAAAAAAAACTTTAATATGTATTCTTCAAAAACAATAATTCTAAAAACTTAAATTAATTAAAATTCAAATCGATCTAACTTAAAAAATTTAATTATACAGCTAAAAAAAAAAAATTTAATTAATTTCAATAGTAAACAATTTTAAATAAAGTATAAACAAAAAAAAAATTCTGAATATACTTCTCTTCAATAAATCAATCATTAAATAACCAACGATTAATCTTTTCAATTAACAATTAAATTACTAAAAAAAATAAACCAACAATAAAAAAAAATAATTTTACCAAATATTTGTTCGATATAAATAATAAAAATGAATTACCAAATAATAAATTATCCAATTTCTTCTAATTTTATATTATCAAACTCTGAAATCTGCCCTATATTAAATACAAACGATCTCTTATTTACAACATATATTAAACGAAATGAAATAAATCAAAATCTATTAAATGCACCATTAAATAACCAAAATGATTCATCAATATACCATGGTGTCCATCTAAAAAATTAATAGAATTACAAGAATTTATTAACAAAATCTTATATGATCATCCCTCAACTCCTTGCGCTTACTGTTCGATACTAATGATTAACTCATCTTTCAAATGGATAAACTACAATCCTAATGAGATATACACAATAGTTTTTCCAAAAATCCAATTATCCTTACGTTACAATAACAGAAAACAAAGAAAAGTTGCTGTCTGCTCCTTATGCAAAACTCCAAAGAATCGCAAATTTCTACCCATCCTAAGCCAAATACCTGAAGAAATTCACGCTGTTCCTATGGTATATCGAAAACAACTATCACCTATCCATATGAGTTGCTCTTTAGGACGTGTTACAAATTCAAATCCCTATACAAACTATCGTCATCTACAAGATTTCATCGGATTATCGAAAAATCAAATGCTTTAAAATTACATTCAGGTTTAATTGGAGCATTTTTCAATCAAAATAAACCACCAAATTGGTTTCACCAAACATTAATAAATGGCTAAAACAAAACAATCCAATATTTAGAGAATACATAAAAGTAAACCATATAGCGCAACCTTCACCAATGATTCAGATCCCAAAATCATATCTTATTGCTAAACCATCTAAAGATTACACATATAATAAAGATTCAAATTTTTCCCTTATCAATTCAAATAAATCAGGAATACCCTCAATAATTGTACCAAACAATGATTTTCTAATACAAATACATAACGAAGAAGACTATATATACAAACTTTTAATGGCAAGATTCATCAAATCAAATGATGATTTCACACTACTAATAGCATATAATAATCCAGATTTAGAGGCATTATTATTTTCAGACATATTCACACAGGATATGGACATTATGAAAGCATAAAAAAACTCTTAAAATTCAAATAACATACTGATAATTACGGGAAATATGTGAAATTGAGAATGTTATGCTTAGATTCAAGATCCAGATTGCATTGGTATTAGCCACACTGGTCATACCTGAATATAGAAAAAAAGCATAACTACAAAAATCAAAATAGAATTCTAATGCAAAAAAACATATCTCGTAACTCACATCCAACTAGAACAGACTTAATAATATCAAGTGTCCATACAAATAGACCAATAATAAATAAAACAATAACAACTACTTTACCATCTCATGTTTGAATGTCTGAACCATTCTTTAGAAAAAATAACATCAAGTTAACATAATGCTTCAAATTTTTGGTTTACCACAAATTTTCTATACAATGACAATTGCAGAAAACAAATGAAAACACCTAAAAATAATCTTAGAAAATACAGATAATAAAGATACATTACCAACCAATAGAACAATGTATGTTTATATTCATTATCATAATAAAGTGTAATAAATTGACTAACCTACGCAATAAATTCTTGAAATTTCCAGAAATAGTATAGTGAAATGAAAGGTTGCATTACTTCGAAAAAAACAAATTTCAAAATAGAGAAACTATCTATACTCATGGATTCACTTACACTGAAAAAAAATTCCAGAATTAATAGCATTAAACATATTACACGCAGATATACCTGATCAAACACTAGAACCAGAACTCTATCAACTTGTATTAACATATTAAATATATCATTGTGATATAAACAAATGCGAAGGACTAAATTCAGATAACCAAACATATAAAAAAGGTTTTCCACAACCTCTATCAAACTACATATATTGCAGAATAAACTCCAAATGATATACATATAAAAGAACAAAAGAAGCTGACCGTTGAGTAGTTCTATATTATCTAGAAATATTAATGATATGGGAAGAATATATAAATTAATACATAACTACACTTAGATTTGGAATATATATTACAAAATAAGCTACTAAAGCTGAACCCACTGAAATATTTGATATTTAGGATGAAGATTCATACTGAAAATATGTACAAGCGAGAAAACTAGGTGCAATAGAATTAATAATATTACTATTACAATACCTTATAACAAGATCTTTAGCTGCTATTTGATACTTGCCATCAGCTCCTTCCAAATTAAAAATAAGATCAATAAAACCAATTTATAAATAAATTTCAGAACAAAATATAGAAAATGAAAATAATGAAAATAAGAATGATGATAAAAATCCCTACTTCAATGATGCAATAGATAAATACTTTGAAAGACCAAATGATCTAATATTTAAAAATCTCTTATATCCAAACTATTTTAGAAATTATTAGAGTTCTGAATGAGCTGAGCCAACTTTCAAGTCAAATGAGTTGAGTCAATTTAAGTTGAGTCAAGTTATAAAAAATTTGACTTGTTTAACTTGAGTTGAGTTTCAAGTTAAGCTTGACTTGACTTAAGATAACTCGAATTAAACTCAAGCCTAAAGTTAAGTAAATCTTGAACACAAATTTGAGCCCAAAGTCAAGCAAAACTTGAGCCTAAAGTTGAGCTAAAAAATTTAACAAATTTATTTTAAAAAAGTATAAAATATTGTTTAGATAAAATGATATAAATAGTTCTAAAAGAATAATAGAAGTTTTGTTTTAATAGAATAATAAATTGTCATTTTATAGAAACGATAAAAAATCGTTCTAATAGAACTATAGTATATTATTCTTAGAAAACAATAAAGAGAATTGTTCCTTAAAAATGATAATGCATTATTCTAAAGGAATAATAGAGAGAATCATTCCTTAAGAACAATAATGCATCATTCTAAAGGAATAATAGAGAAAATCATTCCTTAAGAATAATAATGCATCATTCTAAAGGAATAATAGAGAAAATCATTCCTTAAGAATAATAATGCATCATTCCAATAAAATGATGAAAAGTATCATTCTAAAGGAACAATTCAATTAATATTTTGAAAGAACAATTTAATTATCATTTCAAAAAGAACAATTTATTATTGTTCTTAAGAAACGATTCAATTATCATTCTAAAAAGAATGATTTATTATAGTTCTTTAAGGAATAATTTGATTATCATTTCAAAAAGAACGATCGTTCATTCATTGTTCTATTGGAATGATTCTTCTATCATTCTTTTAGAATAATATTTTATCATTCTATCAGAATGATTCCTTTATCTTTCCTTTGAAATGATGCATTATCATTCTATTAGAATGATTTTATTTATCGTTCCTTTAGAACGATTCTTTTATCTTTCCTTTAGAATAATTAATTATCATTCAATCAGAACGAATACTTGAGTCGAGTCGAGTTGAGATTTAAAAATTATTTTAACCCAATTTGACTTGACTCAATTTTTTCAAGTTAAGTTAAGTTTGACAAAACCTTACTCAATCTGACTTATTCAGAACTCTAGAAATTATAACATAGGAAATAAACAACCAAAAGCAAATTTAAAGCTTTATTAGATAATAGATCAAAAAAAAGGTATGTAATAAAAAGAACAAAACCCCTCCTTCTAAGATTTACAAATTACCAAATTGATGATGGCGAGTCATATTTCTATCAATATATCATCATAAAATAACCAGCATACAATAAAAATGATTTACTCGTGTGATGCAAAAGCTTCAGAGAAAGATTCAAAATGCTATATCTAATAAGATATGAATAAGCTATAATAAGATTAAAAAAAGCTCAATAATTAACAAAACATAACTCTCAGAATCATGCAAAAGAGTAATCAAATCAGTTTTATTAGATATTAAAAGAACAAACTGTGGAATATCATATAAGAATAGCTAATTTTACTAGAAAAACTAACTACTTAAATAGTTTTTACCCTAACCCTTGATGATGATCAATAGTATATATATAATACACTCACTAATACTTAGGAATTCGAAAATGAAGATAAATACCCATACTTCACTATGATAGGCTCTGCTGAAACTGGAAAAACGTTTATGACTTTAAAAATAATAAACATGTTAAAAAACAAAAAAAAATAGAATACCTATTAATGGCATCCACTGGAGTGGCAACTCAAAACGTTGGTGAAAAACCATACACTCAACTCTAAACATAAGACAAATAGACAAAAATTACCAAATCCTATCATTTAATGATAAAACTTCAAGAATTTAACTTACAAAAATTAAAGCAATAATAATAGACAAAGTTTCGATGGTATCAGATAAACTATTTCATTTTTAAGTAACACATTTAGCAAATTACATAAAAATTACAAAATCTTTGATGATGTTTCAATTTTAGTAATTAAAAACCTCGCATAATTGCCACCTGTAAATGGGAAACAAGTCTTCTTCTCACAAGCTAAAAATCCTTTTTTCAATTATTCCTAACCAAACTACATCGACAAAAAATGACCTAAAATATTACCAACTCCTTTAAGAATTAAGGTTCAGTATTCTATCAGAAAATTCAAAAAAATGATTAACAAAAAAATAAAAATTTTGAAAAATTAAAATATCATTATGAATTCTACTCATCTTATCAGACTATGTAAAATAGTGGAACGAATTATCACACTCATATATCAAAGTTTACCATTGATGACTAATATTGCGTTCCTATAATCTCAAAAGTGATAGATAGCTTAAATTTTAAAATTCAAAACTAAAGTTGCTTGTCTAAACTCATTTTGGATTTGGCAAAATGGTAAAACCTTTAGTTTCACTAAATTTTTATTAAGTGTTTAATATAGTTTCGCCATTTTTATAAGCTTTGATATAGTTTTACCTTTTTTCAAATTTCGCAGATTTTTTAATAAGGTTTTAATATAATTTAACCAAGTTTTACTTTTACCATTTAGACGTCTGTCTAAATTCTTGATTTTGTCTAGCAACCTTATTCAAAACAGTTAACAATACTTCAAGTATTATATAAATCTTCCTGAATCTATTACAATTCAAAAAGAAGTAAGAATAATATATCTAAACAACAAACTAATTAAATGTAGCATCTGCAACAGAATGATAGGAATTATAACGAAAATAATAAATAAAATAACATAGAAGTTACTTTTCTAATGAACAGGAATATTAGTAAAATGATCTCCAAAAAATTACTATAAATTCAAAGTAAAAGGTATACACGCTTCAAGAAACCAATACCCATTATAAAATACATTTGCCTTAACAGTACATAAACTCAAAGCGTCATATTACTACATACGATGCTAACAATAGATATAAACATATTAGTTCCAGGTTAAACCTACATGGCAATGAGCAGAATTCTCTCTTGTGATCGATTAGACATACTTTTATTCAATTTCGACTGCCTGAAAATAGACAATAATATTATAAACAAATATAAAAGATTAAATTGCATTCATCAAAATGGGCTAACAAAATGAGATTAATAGAATTAAAAATAATGATAATCATATAATCATATAACACAAGCTCCCTTAGCATCCAATTATACTAATTTGTTATAAAATAAAAATATTTGAAAAACTTGCTTAATCTGTTGTATTTTATACATTTTAATAATTTAATAATATCA